GCCCCTCACCGATGAGGAGTTGGCTCAGCAAGGGCTGAAGGTCCCTGATGGAGGACAGATTCGGTCGTTTGCTCCAACTCAGCTGCCAACGGGTGCTATTCTGACCGCCCCAGATAAGTGGCCTCCTCCTGGTTGTGATATGAACGAGCTCGACGACGACGATATTGCGGGTGCAATGCGCTTTGCCATCCCAGACTTCCGTGCTGAGGAGAGACAGCTCCCTGAGATTGATAGAGGAAGGCCCGAGCTGAGGCCTTTCCAGGGACTCTGCGAGAAGTTTGGTCAGCTATTTTCCCTTCGGCCCGGACAATGCGATAAGGTACAGCACCGGGTGAATACCCATGACGACACCCCGGTGGTGGAGCGAGTCCGGCCCGTACCCCATAAGTGGCGGGAAGATATTGAGGCTCAGCTTCGGGAGATGGAGGAACTCGGGGTCATCAAAAGGTCGACGTCGGCCTGGCGATTTCCCTGTGTTTATGTCCCTAAGAAGAATGGGAAGGTTCGCATGTGTGTAGACTACCGCAGGTTGAATCAGGCCTGTCACACAGAAGCGTATCCGGTACCGAGGCCTGACGACGTCCAGGAGCACCTTTGTCATGCCAGAGTGTTCTCTACCCTAGATCTGCGTAGTGGGTATTGGCAACTTCCGGTGAGGCCCGAGGATCAGCACAAAACGGCTTTTTGCCCAGGGCCTGGGTTCCCTTTGTATGAATGGTGTCGCATGCCGTTCGGCCTGGCTTCGGCCCCGGCCACCTTTCAAAGGTTAATGGATATGGTATTAGGACACTTGCCGTATATTCGCGTGTACCTAGACGATGTTCTCGTGTTCAGCCGGAGTTACGAGGAGCACTTACGGCATCTGGAAGAAGTGTTCCGCTTACAGTAAGCGGCTTACTTGAGGAAGCTAACCTGACGATCGCCGGAGACAAGTGTGAGATCGGCCGTTCGGAGGTTACCTATCTTGGGCACGTCTTCAATGATAAGGGTATGACCCCGGATGGGGCAAAGGTCGAAGCAATACTTCGTTGGCCTGTTCCTACAACGGCCAGCGAACTGAGGTCGTTTGTCGGCCTGGCTGGGTATTATCGACATTTTGTTAGCCATTTCTCTTCGGTGGTGAGGCCTCTATATGCCTTAGAGTCCGCCTGTAAGAAGGAAAAGAGTAACAGCCTCTTGGGTAAGTGGAAGGAAGAGCACGATACGGCTTTCCTACACTTGAAGTGTGGCCTCGCGTCCTTGCCGGCCTTGGCTTACCCCGACTTCGAGCAACCTTTCCAGTTGGTTACGGACGCCTCCGACTACGCCATCGGTGCAGTATTGGAACAGCAAGGGAGGCCTCTGGCTTTCTACAGCCAGGCGCTTTCTGGTGCACAGTTGAGGTGGCCTGTTTATGAGAAGGAGGCCTATGCGATATTCAAGGCGTTGGACCACTTTCGTACGTTCTTTTTGGGTTACCCTCTAGATTTGATCGTACTGTCCGATCACCGGCCTTTGCAATGGATAACAACCTCCAATTCAGCCAAAGTTCAGCGTTGGCTACTGGCAATGAGCCAGTATTCCTTCACTGTACGATATGTGGAGGGAAAGGCCAATAAGGCTGCAGACGCGCTCTCGAGGTTACGGACTACGGCCCCAACGAACGAGTTCCTGCAAGAACTGCCACCTGCACCAGCCGCAGCCGCTGTTCCCTGGGACGATGACGATATACCGTGGCCCTTTCCTCGATGCCAGCAAGTTGTCGACCGG